ATAAAAAGTCAAAACGTCTAAATAGGTTTCGACATTCGACAGTTGTCAATACTCTGAGGTTTCGTCAAGCAACTATATATTCATCTTTATGCTTTGTTTATAATTTGTGTAACAGATGATTTAAAAATTCAGTCTTGCTATTCGGACTCTTAAGAAAAAGAAATACTTTCACATTCATTACTTTCAAATAAATGTCACTTTTTTATTATAAGAAATGATTGACTTTAGAAACTGCGTTTATGCAAATTAATATTGGCCCTTATAAAGACAATTTTAATAGCGGCAGATGATACGATTCGATTCATGTAGTTCTATTATTAATAATTCTTATTCAAAATTTTCAGTATTTTACCTTTAATTCAACACATTTAAAATAATTTAATATTGCATAATATAATTGAAAATTTAAAAAATAAAAGTTATTGTAATTAATTCATTTAAAATTAAATTAACTTTATCACAATCATGCCTGTATGTAGACACGGCAATAGGTAATAGGAATTCTTTATAGACCTTATTTACAGTTTCAATATGGCAATATAAATATCGATATACTTAGCAATTGACGATATTAAGAGACTATGAAACCATGATATAATCTATGTAATATATTTATCAATTAAAAAAATATGATAATTTTTATCGATCAGCTGTTATTTTGAGTTTAACATTTTTGTAGAAAAGTCAATTTTTAAACCAATTTTTCCGATCTAGCTATAAAGCTTATATATATTGCAATGTTTCAAAACATAGAGATGCCAGGTCGGGTTCGTAATAAAAAAAAACAGAGAACCGGAGACATACTTTTTGAACCGGGTGATTAAATGCTTTGAACTATTACTTGGTTTACGTTATGCCACCTTAATTTCTAACTTCATTTATCATAAAAGCTTACCAAGCCTAAAGATGAAACTACTCGAAAACGTACAGCCTTGCGTAGTGAACCTTTTACAAAAAAACTGTATCTTCCACTGACTGATACATATATATATGCATGAATTTGAACAAGTTTACCAACATCAAGAAATAAATTTCAAATACAATCAACTTATAAAATATTAGGATAATATTAATGCGAAATTATTAAAAATATATTTTTTTTATTATTTTTATACAAATTATTTATCATTATTATTTTTTTAAAAAAAATACATGAGAAAATAAATAGAAATATAAAGAATCTACAAAGTTTGGATTCTGTCTAAGTACTATATCATCAAATAAACTATATTCAAAAAGAAACTTACTATCACACACAAAATAATGAAAATTCCATTGATTCGACTCAAAATTTAATGTCCAATAAATTGAAGTGGAAATTAATAGCTGTGCTACTACTGCCTCATTATATATATTATTTAAATTAATGATTTAAGATATATATCTTAAGACTTTTTATATTACTTACTTTAAGGAATTACCAAACCATCTGATCTTCCGAATGAAGGTTTTAATAATTATATATCTATGATTTAATAATTATTTAATTAACAATAAATATATTGTTTAAAAGAAATTGTTTATTCCTTACTATCACTTTTATATAATTTTTTTTGTCCATAATAATTGTAGATCATAGGGTTTCTAAGAAAATATTTAATTTAAAAATCATAAAAATCAATATTAAATATTACAATTAATATAATCTTACTAATTAACTTTGCATCTTTATTCTGTTCACTTTGATTTTTATTTATAACTTCGGTTGGTGTAAAATTTTAAAATAATTTATAAAATTAAATTACTTACAATTTGAAATATCAAGGCTATTTTTGCTTACTATCATATACTTTAATTTTTTAAAACAAAAGATATAGTAAATAATATCACGATTAAACATTGTTATTTATATTGTATATATATCTTCTTGTTCTATTAATTAAAAAAGGTTTAAATATAAATAACTTCAATTATGATTCTAACACTGTGGTAGTTGGATAAAGTACCGCACCGTGCCGTTTTTCTACATACCCTATTGTTATTGATCTCTCACAATAATATTAATAGCATCCAATACTGATATCGTCAAAAGCGTGCTTAGTAAGAAAAAAAATTTAAAAAAATAAAAAAAAAATGATCTACAACCGGAGAGCAATATTGATCTGCAAAACTGTATCGTTACGTCGAAGTGAAGTAAAAAAATTTTTTTCGTAACATCACGTGTCAAGTAACACATAAATAATATCTTTAAGTTGCGTACTTTTGAAATGATTTATTAAAAACTTGTATAATGCTTATTAAAAATTATTATTAATTATCATTTGAAGGCGGAATATAATATACTTACGCTGTATTGGAAATTTAAATCAACACGTAATTTTATCTATAATTCAATGATAACGATCAAAGATTTAAATTAATGATCATATTGTTATTGTATTTTAGGTTAATTTTACCGCTGAATAATAAAAGCTTTACTCTTAAAATACAATTATTTATACATAAAGTCTAGGTTAATAACATACATTAATTAAATCAGATATCTGAAAAAAGAATTTGATTATATTGTGCGAGCATGTACTTATTATCATCATTAAAAAATGATTTCCAATTCTTTAGGCTTCACTCCTATCCTTCACCACGAATAATTGCATAATTTTGACTTTTATTCAGAAATTCTACTCAATTTATTTTATACACAATTTCATACACCATTATAGCTTTTGAAATACAGGTTTGAATTGATTATTATTTGATTTAGGTCAATACTGATAGACGTTACAACCGAAAAACAATTAGATTTAACTTTTAACTATGTTAGTGAGGATGAATTTAATCTGAAGGTAATCATAATTTATTTTATATGTCAATTAGACCCTTGAAATAAAGGTGATAATTGTTAGTTATTTTATTTAGGCAAAAAGTCATCACAGGAAATACAGAAAGAACACGTAAATTTATCACCAGCTGAAAGTGAAATTTCCAACCATTTTAAAGAATTTAACAAACTTATTATGGATCTACGTCCATAGTCGAAATTTTCATTATCATTGGATTTCAAACTTCAAGAAAAATGTTCTTCATCTGGTCTTTGATTCTATTGATAATTAGACTACTGAAGAACTCCTCAATTATCTGATTGAATTTTTTGAGATGATCTAAGTCTTAAGGGGTGGGATGAAGCTGTAAATAAGTTACATTTCAGCGAAACTGATTCAGAACTTTTAAAAAATGTAAAGAAATTGATGAAATTAACTCTGCCAAAGTTGTAAGTAATTCCATTAAAATCTAAAATAATAATGAATCGATTAACATAATTTCTTGTTTTGTTTTAAAGCGTTTTAATTGGGGTGTCTATAATAGCCTGAGAGATGTATCAACACTTGTAAAGCCTCATCTCATTTAAACTCGTATTTTGTAGTGGTGAGATGATACGTGTAGAAGGAATTAAATGGCATTCTTCTAAATTCATCCTTCCTTTGTATCATCATAAATCAGTTCTTTATCATTTTATTCAATAAAACTTTCTTATTATCATCATCTTTAACTGACTCGTTGATTTTGTCTTCATTACTCTGATTCTCTTCATTTTCAATTTTCTCGAGCAAATAAGTCAATTACAATATTTTGACCTCAATTGGATTGGAAACTAAAATATGACTATAAATATAAATTTGTTGATGATATATGTAATCACTATTAGAGCAATTGTAAAAATTAGACGTACCGTCTTTTTTTTCTATTATAACTTTTCCAATATTTTTGTATCATTTCTTGCTAATAATAAGAAAAAAAATATAAATAAATAAAAAAGTAAAAAAACGAACTTCGAAATTTGACGTCGAATATTTACAGCAGCATTTATTGTGGTGAACACATCATGGTTAATAACAAGTTATAGAGGAGCCTGTTTGTAGGCAGTTTCGTATTGTTCGATTGCACTATCATATTGGGTTGAATGGGATGAATCAAGCGAAAAAAATCCAACGGGTTAGATTTGGAGATCCAGGACCAACTCCATTTCTTTCTCCGTGGTGATTTTTTGTACATAAGCTGGTCAAAAAAAAAATGTAATAGTAGAATACTTACGATTACTTGCAGAAATTCGCAGTAAAATCCTGCTGTGGACACTTCTTTCTGATCAATATTAGATATTATTTTTTTTGAAAAACTTAGCGAGACTATCCTACCTATTTATATATTAATTACTAATGTGTGATGTACATATTGTGAACCATTTTAGAAGAACAAAAATTCACTTCAATTAATTAAAAGGAAGAATATGGCGTTATTATGTGATCATTTTTACATTATTAAATAGCAAGGTTAAGGAGTCGATCGCTTTATTTGGATGACAATTATGACAATTGGAGTTTGTGAAGCTTTATTATTTTCCAAACTTATACAAGGTTGTTTTTAATGTAGAGGGATTAAACCTTATTTCAGTTATATTATCTTCAAAGTACTCGCTAATAAAAAAAAACTATCTCACATTCTCGGCATCTTTTTTTATTAACTTTTTTTTAAAATAATTTTTAAGGCTGCTAAGAACAATAATTTGAGATTGTGGGCATCATCACATAGAGTCTACAATATATTGATAATTTCCAAGAACCGTTTGATACTAACCAGCCGCGGTGAAGATTGATAAATTTATTTTTTCATACAGCGATATTTCATTTTCATTTTTTTTTTTTTGTTTTTCTTTTTTGGGATTTCATGATGCGGTAATTTATTTAAGTTTATTATTGATAAAATTGAGATTCGAATCCCCCCAAAAAATGAGATCCGAAATCTCAAACTAATGACAAAACAAACACTTAAATTCGTATTGGAATAATAATTAATTTTAGATTAATTAATGCAAGCGATAACAATATTTACAATTCAAATTTATTTATCAAAAAATTTAAAGAATAAAAAAAAGAAACTTGTTTATAAAAAAATATTACAAAGAATTTCAACGTTTAGCCGACGCTCTATAATAGATCTAAGGAGGAGAGAATATTCCTAATCCTATCCTAACGAAAATACATAGCAAAACGAACATATAGTAAATTTCCTTCCAAAGGATTCATCACGCACATAAAAAATAGTAATTAATCTCGGCTGAGTAAGAAAATTTTTCAAGAACGGTGTCATAAAGGGCCGAAAATATACTCGTCCAGATTAAATGACGTGGTGCAAATTGATATTCACGAATAAACTCCGTCTAGTAATACAATTTTAGCAAATTAATATAGATATTGTATTGATATACTTATATAATCTATATATAGTAGTTTCTGTTTTAGTTATTAATTATACTCAACATTTGTATAGAAATAGAACTTCTCGCATAATTTATATGATTCACGATATTCTTTGGGATTTTGAAATGGTTATCATCATTGATGTGCTCAAACCAATTGTCACCTCATAAATTCGAAAAGGGTGATATTATGTTTATTGTGTTTATTATAGAACACAATGTATTATAGCGAATTATAATGTAAATCAATTGAATATATAAAACATTTATTAAAAGAAATAAAAGGAAAATCAGTTTATTGAATAAAATAATATAATAAATGCAAATATTACTGCTACTGCTGGCGCTCTGAATTAGGCCCAAAGAAGAGAGAGAATAAATTCTAAGACGAAAATCCCTTCTTTTTATAATAAATTTCCTTCTCAAGGCTTGGTTATAATATTCTTGACAAAGATCCGTTTCTTGCGGCTTGAATGGCGAAAATGCTTATTAATCACTTCATTATTTCAAAATCGGTCATTTTAACATATACATTCTAACATACCTAGTAGTCCTAACTTGCGTAAAAGTCCCAACAGACAGCAAGCAAATTGTCCGCGGTGATCCAATTTTTGGCGCAGTCAAATTCCGAGAGTGACAATTAACCTACATAAATGGCTTATAATAAAGATTCCATTATAAATTCTATTGATAAACATTATACATGAATAAATGTACTAAATTATATTCTTATAACCAAATTCAATGAAACAGAACTAATGAATGAAACCACAGGATGGTAGATCCTTCCATTCTGATACTGCTGGATATTTTACACCATTGACAGTAAATGAATAGATCCTTTTATTCATAAATGAACTGTAATTATTATCTGCCTTAAATGAAGGACGATAAGGACAATAAACACCATTCTCACCTTTATAACGACAAATATCACTGAAATAGCCTAATATCCATTTTGAGATCCTGCGAAGATTTCATAATCAAAATTTTCTGATGCACACAAACATCGTGCCCCGTAAGGGTCGGGTTTGTAGCATATTCGAACTCGAACCCGTTAATATTTATTTAAGGACCCGAATTCGACTCGACCCGATTATTATTCATCTCGTCCTGATTTTTTTAAACTCGGATTCGATTCGAATTTTAAGGTTAAAATTAATACCGAAGTAAAAAATTTCTTTATATAAATAATGAAAAGAGTGTATTAATTGAAAGATATTTTTTTAAAATTCTTTGAAATTTAGTATTTTATTGCAACCAGGAATTCAAACACATACAAACCCGAATTGAATTGGCTTTATGACCAAATCTAGACCAAATATAACTCATTCACAGGAACACTCGTTTATTTAATTTGATTTTAATGATGACGTTCTAAAGTATACCAATGATTTGTTGTATTAAAATCATCAACCTTGCGGAGCATATTATTTGTCGTATAAAAATCTTTTTAAAAAAAAGATAAGAATAACCTGTAATATTCTCTATTAAAATGACATACGAGCAATTAAGAAATTTAACTTCTCAATGAATTTTTGAATATTTAAATTCAGGTGGAAGAGATACTCTCTTCAAGAAGATCTTTGGCAATTAAATCACTTCGCAATACTTCAAGAGATGTATTATCGGATTTGATCAGATCACCTGACCATTGGTCAAGAAAAATCGTGACCCTAACCCGACGGGTTTTAAGAAATTAAGACTCATGACTTAAAAAGATCGAATTTTTTCTCGAGCGGACCGGGCCTATTCGATCTACTCCACACAAGCAATTACAACATGTTTCTCAATAATGACGTCCCATTCAAACGTACCTTGATTTTCGAATGCCACATTAGCTCTAACAATTTGATGTTCATTACAAGCATTAGGTGCTCGTACAACTTTCCATTATCTTCAATAATAAGATTTGATCCACACGCTGACTCGTCCCAGTTTTGTTAGATATCGATGAATGTCCACGAACGAACTTTAATTCTGTATTACATGACATTACCCTATGTCGTTAACATTTAAAATTGTTTCAACGGGGATAATGTTTAATGGTTCGATGATATTAACTAATATTTGGCTTTTAATTCGTCTGAAATCAGTATAATTTACCAAATATACTAATTCTTTGCAACTTTATTTTGTTTTGGGATAAGCTCATTATCAATTTGCTTAAAGTTATCCATGTGATAAGGTGTTTTAGTTGAATCGTTAGAAATATCACTTTACATATATCGAAAAACCTCATATCTGTGGTTACAAAGGACTTATCCTTTCATAAGTGCAAGATAAAAGGTATCGAAGTGCTGTACTAAGCAAGCGACCAAATTCAATGGTATTTAACGTAATAGATTAGAAAGAATATTTTCTTCTGTTTCAAGAATTTTAGATAATAATTCAGGAGAATAGTTATCATTGCTATTCTTTTCTAAGGTACTTTTAACGGTCTTCGCAATAAAATCTTGAAGTTCCGGCAGTCTGCAGAAATAAAAGTTGTAGAAATAAAAGTTTAAACGATATTTTCTTTGGTTAAAGATTTCTCTTTAGCAACTCCTGTACAAAGAAAGATATTCCATTATAACTTCCATTCCTGAACAATAAATCTTTGAAAAAGAAATTTGATCATCATAAATTTCTCCTACTCTACTAAAAAGTAATCTGTCAAATAATTTATAACTTGCAGCTAAACTAACATTTTTTCATTGTTGCATAAATTTCTACATCATTATATTTTGGATTATTGATTAATAATCTCAAATCTTGTTCTAATGAATACCCTCTTGTCATTTGAACAATTTTCTTTTTATTTAAAGATTTTTTTATTAATGTATAAATTCAAAGAAATCCTTTTGTACAATGATGCATCTAATTTTGCTTGAACATAATTCAGGTCAAAAAATACGTATAATGGTGAGTGCTGCGAAAAGGGAACAAATTGAAAAATTTTTCAAAAATTTAATCCTAAGTGGATTAGATGTAATTTTTATACAATTTGGTCCCTTTTCGCAGCACTCACCACATATGGTTTCAGTACTGAAAAATAATTACATCAAAAAGTTTTTCCAAGTTTATTCACTAATTAAACTGCGTAAATATACTGTATCTAGGGTGAAAATAATTTTT